ACACACACCTAGACACACACACACCTAGACACACACACACACTAGACACACACACACACACACACATCTAGACACACACACACACACACACCTAGACACACACACACCTAGACACACACACACACACCTAGACACACACACACACACACACACCTAGACACACACACACACACCTAGACACACACACACCTAGACACACACACACACCTAGACACACACACACACCTAGACACACACACACACCTAGACACACACACACCTAGACACACACACACACACCTAGACACACACACACATCTAGACATACACACACACCTAGACACACACACACACACCTAGACACACACACACACATCTAGACACACACACACACCTAGACACACACACACATCTAGACATACACACACACATAGACACACACACACACACCTAGACACACACACACACCTAGACACACACACACCTAGACACACACACACCTAGACACACACACCTAGTCACACACACACCTAGACACACACCTAGACACACACACACACCTAGACACACACCTAGACACACACACACACCTAGACACACACACCTAGACACACATACACACCTAGACACACACACACCTAGACACACACACACACACCTAGACACACACACACACACCTAGACACACACACACACACCTAGACACACATACACACCTAGACACACACCTAGACACACACACACACCTAGACACACACCTAGTCACACACATACCTACACACACTTAGACACACACCTAGACACACATACACATCTAGACACACACACACACATCTAGACACACACACCTAGACACACACACACACCTAGACACACACACACCTAGACACACACACCTAGACACACACACATCTACACACACACACACACCTAGACACACACACACACACCTAGACACACACACACACCTAGACACACACACACCTAGACACACACACACACCTAGACACACACACACACACCTAGACACACACACACACACACACCTAGACACACACACACCTAGACACACACACACACCTAGACACACACACCTAGACACACACCTAGACACACACACACACCTAGACACACACACACACCTAGACACACACACACACACACCTAGACACACACACACACCTAGAGACACACACACACACTAGACACACACACACACACCTAGACACACACACACACCTAGACACACACACCTAGACACACACCTAGACACACACACACACCTAGACACACACACACACCTAGACACACACACACACACCTAGACACACATACACACCTAGACACACACACACACCTAGACACACACACACCTAGACACACACACACACACCTAGACACACATACACACCTAGACACACACCTAGACACACACACACCTACAAACACTTAGACACACAGCTAGACACACATACACATCTAGACACACACACACACATCTAGACACACACACACCTAGACACACACACACATCTAGACATACACACACACCTAGACACACACACACACCTAGACACACACCTAGACACACACACACACCTAGACACACACCTAGTCACACACATACCTACACACACTTAGACACACACACACCTAGACACACACCTAGACACACATACACATCTAGACACACACACACACCTAGACACACCTAGACACACACACACACACACCTAGTCACACACACACCTAGACACACACACACACCTAGACACACACACCTAGTCACACACACACACCTAGACACACACACACACCTAGACACACACACACCTAGACACACACACACACCTAGTCACACACACTCCTAGACACACACACACACACACATCTAGACACACACACACACCTAGACACACACACACACATACATAGACACACACACACACCTAGTCACACACACCTAGACACACACACATACACACACCTAGTCACACACACACACACACCTAGACACACACACACACCTAGACACACACACACCTAGACACACACCTAGACACACACACACATCTAGACACACACACACACCTAGACACACACACACACACCTAGACACACACACACCTAGACACACACACACACACCTAGACACACACACACACACCTACACACACACACCTACACACACACCTACACACACACACTCTACACACACACACACCTACACACACACACCTACACACACACACACCTAGACACACACACACCTACACACACACACCTACACACACACACACCTAGACACACACACACCTACACACACACACACCTACACACACACATAGAGGTTTCTCTTTTAGCTGTTTGCTTTTCTCAGATAAAACTGAGGATTTCATCAGTTTGAATGAAGTTCCAGGAGAACAGAATGACTTCATCAGAGCAAAATTAAAGTTCTGGAGTCCAAACGGTGCATCGGAACCAGAACCAGGTGTAGCTTTGAGATCAGAAGGGTTTAGACAACGGGGATCTGGAACCCGATCGCTGCTGATTCTATAGTTTCAGGAAGATGTTTGACCTCCAAGGTCATGAGAGGAGACATGGATCCCTGTCCCGGTTCTGGCCCAAACCTCCAAGGCTCTGGGGATTTCTCTGGGAGGGAAACTTCAACAAAAAAATAAATTACACTCAATTAAATCTAATTAAATGTAATTCTATTTCAAAACAAATTAAACTTAGAATATTTAGTTGATTTAAATGACAATGAAATTAAATGGTTTAAATTAAAACAAAAATAACAAATAATTCACATTGAAAACATTTAAAACACAATAAATAAAATAATAAAAATATAATTGGAAAAAAATTATTAAACGAATTAATTTAAAAGAAGCAAATAAATGTAATTAATTTAAATTCAAACTAAATACATGCTAAAATGATTCGTAATAACATTTAATCAAAATAAAACATTATAAACAAATTTTCAAAGTTTAGTGATTCTTGTGTGTTTGCAGCTGCATTAATGAGTTCAGGTGTAATTCCTTTTGTGGCCACTAGATGGCCGACGCTCTGCAGCTCTGAACCCCGACTATTGCACTGTTGGATCAGTGATTTGATTGGTTCTTGTTCGTCGTGACGTCATCAGGGCAACCAAACCCGGTTCCGTAGAACCTGTACTGATGTTCTGCTCCATGTGTCTCTCCAGCACACCACCGTTCTTCCCTTTATCATCATCGAGATGCGGACCACCCACCACAGCTACCCCCGCCGGTCCTGGGGGCTGGCCGCCGTCTGCCTGTTCGGCGTCGGATACATTCTCTGGTAACGGGTCACTCCAGAACATTCCTCCAGAACATCCACTGGTTCTGCTGCGTCTTACAGATGATGTGTTGTTGAAGTCCAGATTTGTTGGTAAACCCTGGTTCTGGCCTTCCAGGACGTGTTGGGTCCACCAGGTGACCGGTGTCTGGGTTTACCCGGTCCTTGAACGCATCGCGCCACTGGCTCGGGTCGCTTTCTTCAGCACCATGACGGCCGTGATCTGCATCATGTACGTCCTGGGAGAGATCCTCAATGGATACATCTGGGACCACACACACACAGGTACACACACACACATACATACAGGTACACACACACACATACATACAGGTACACACACACATACACACAGGTACACACACACACAGGTACACACACACACATACATACAGGTACACACACACACAGGTACACACACACATACACACAGGTACACACACAGGTACAGGTACACAGACACACACATTGCGTTGGAGATGTTTGGGTCGTTGTGGTTCTTCTAGAACTTTAGTATGTTCTCAAAAATGATGACACAAAACATGTCCTCATTAATCCAAGTCTCCTGATGTTGACGGTCCGTTTTCACAAAAACTTTGCCTCTTCCTCTCAGAAAAGGTCAAAGGTGAGTGACCTCCTCTGCCTCCATAGCCGCTTTGCGGACCTCGCTGAAGCCAGAACTTCGCTGGACCGGCAGCAGACCAGCTGAGGAGCAGAACCAGTAATCATCAGTGAACCTTTGACGATGAATCCTCTGTTGTTGTTTTTGTGTCTTTGTGTCGTTTTGCTCTGAATGTTCGGCTGCATGAGTTCTGGAAGGAAACCCAAACGGCTTCTCACCAGCCGGAGCCAACGATTCCTGCACAACAAATCAGCCTCCATCTCATCGTCACACTGCATTTCTGGACGATACTTGTGGTTGTTTTAAGGTGCAAATAAAGCTTGAACTAATCTGCAGCATGGGTCTTTACTGGTCGCTCAAACTGGGTCAGATCTCCCTCTGCTAGAGCTGCTAAACCAACCTCTAAATATGAGATTGGATTAGCATTAGCATCCTCTAAATATGAGGTTGGTTTAGCATTAGCATCCTCTAAATATGAGGTTGGTTTAGCATTAGCATCCTCTAAATATGAGGTTGGTTTAGCATTAGCATCCTCTAAATATGAGGTTGGTTTAGCATTAGCATCCTCTAAATATGAGATTGGTTTAGCATTAGCATCCTCTAAATATGAGATTGGTTTAGCATTAGCATCCTCTAAATATGAGATTGGTTTAGCATTAGCATCCTCTAAATATGAGGTTGGTTTAGCATTAGCATCCTCTAAATATGAGGTTGGTTTAGCATTAGCATCCTCTAAATATGAGATTGGTTTAGCATTAGCATCCTCTAAATATGAGGTTGGTTTAGCATTAGCATCCTCTAAATATGAGATTGGTTTAGCATTAGCATCCTCTAAATATGAGATTGGTTTAGCATTAGCATCCTCTAAATATGAGGTTGGTTTAGCATTAGCATCATCTAAATGAGATTGGTTTAGCATTAGCATCCTCTAAATATGAGGTTGGTTTAGTAAGCTAGCTGTTAGCGCTGCTCACTGTGAACCAGGTTTTAGCGCAAAAAGAGTCAAACTAGAAGAGAAGTTTCTCATCATCTTCACCTTCACTGCTTCTTGGCAGAGGCTCAAGATCGACACACACACACCGCTCGTTAACAGCGGTGTGTGTGTGTCTCATTAACACACAGCTCTGATACTGCGAGGTGACACATTCAGACATTTTAATATTCTGTTCTGTTTTCATCAGCATCAATTCCCATGATTTAGATGCTTTGAGCAATAAAACAAATAAAAATTGCAATAAAAAATCCAGAAACCCGATCAGATGAATGGATATTTGCACTGGAGATTAGATAAAAAAGCTGTAAGATTGTGTTTTGTTTTGGTTTTGTTGCAAATTTCAGGAAGCAATATCTTTATTTGAATGACTTATTTCCAAATATCAACGTCGGCTGATCGAGCCCTCATGGTTTCTAACATTTTCCCCTAAAACCGACATGAAAACATGTCGACATGATCCACAGCAACTTCCGGGTTTATTTTCCTCAGAGGTCCAGTTAAACTGCTCCCCCTGCTGGCCGACTGATAGAACAACAAGAAACGACATGAAACGTTGTTCCAAAAATATAAACAGCTTTTATTAATTCATAAAAATAACTAAATATAAAACTGAGCTGAAGCTTTCTGCAGGTCAGTCCTTCCTGGTTTTGGGTTTCGGGGCTGAAAACAGAAAATGTTTTTCACAGCAAAGGTGAAACCAGGGTTAGCAAAAATAAAACCTTCTCAGTGTGTATCTACAGAATAAATAAAGATTTAATAACATTAACTGATTCATTTACAGGCAATAAAATTAAACATAACAAAGCAAAATAAAAAATTAAAAGCAAAATAAAAAATCTAGAAAAATATAAAGTTCGTTTTATTCACCGTTTGGATTCTCCTGTTTGTAGAAAGTTTTCAGCATCTCAACAGCTTCCTCTGCTCTGTGACCTGGAACACACTGAACACACACACACACACACACACACACACACACACACACACACACACACACAGTCAGACAAACAACACAATGCTCACATTCTGACCTTTTCCAGACTTTTTTCATGTTAAACTAGGAAGGAAAGGAACAAAGGAAACCAGAAAAAGAAAGAAAGAAGAAAATGATCAAACATGAACAGAAAGACAAACATGAGAAAGGAAGCAACGATAGAACAACAACAAGGAATGAATGACATGAGGAAGAAAAGGACAGAAGGAATGAAGGAGATGAGTGAAGAAGGAAGAACATAAAGAGCAAGGAAAGACAGGGAAGGAGATAAAGGAAGGATTCAAGATGGTGGCATCGTCAAATTCTGGAAACACAAATGTAAAGACCAAGAACCCTGCAGGTTGACCTGGGGTCAGAGGTGAAGTGTGATTCTGACCCTGAAGGTCGTCCCGGTGTCAGGAAGCTCAGCAGAGGAGAGGTCCAGAACCGAGCCGCAGCCTCCAAATCGCTCGTTGCTGCAGCCGTAGACGACCAGAGGCACGTCTGGAGAGTCAAAGACCAACACACACTGGTACACACACACACTGGTACACACATACACTGACACACACACACTGGTACACACACACACACACACTGGTACACACACACACACACTGGTACACACACACTGACACACACACACTGGTACACACACACACACACACACTGACACACACCAGGATACTCATGAGGCGCAGGGCTGCGGCGCACATCACGCACGGCTCCACCGTCACGTACAGCACCGTTCGCTTGCACACGTCCCTCACGTCCAGGTTGCCACGGCGACACCAGTCCAGCAGCTGGTCCAGGGCGACCATCTCAGCGTGACGCGTTGCCTGAGAGCATGTCACACGCGGGACTGTTGTCACGGCCAGATCCGCCTCCATCTTCCAGAGGAGACGAAGAAAAGGTTTCCTACGTTTTTGGTCTGGTTGACCTCGTTCCGGCCCTTCCCCACCACTTCCTGTCTGTGGACCAGCAGGCATCCGACCGGAACCTCTCCGCCCCGCAGAGCCTCTCCGGCCTGGACACGGTCAGTCACACAGCAGGAAACCATGGACACAAAGATATTAAATCTGGATGTGTATGTTCATCCTGTGGGGTTCTGAATGTTTATGTTTAATATTAATAAAGGTTAAATACATTTAAATGTATATGTAACTATCTCATATCCCAGAAACCCGCCAAAAATAATTTAAATCCCAGATTTATCAAGACCTTCCTGATCATAAAATTGTAATATTTTTAATTTTACAATTTTTATGTTTAATTAACTATCCCTTTTTAATGATTAAATATCAGGTAAACTCAGTCATTTTCAATGTTAAATATGTCGAACTCACCATTTCAAAAGCTCTCGACATCCACCTCTTCATTTCTTCATCACTTACAGAAAACACGGCCTCTAACTCGGCTTTACGGCCCGCTTCTGTTGCCATGGCTACCAACGCCGTCTGACGTCACTCCACGGTGATAGACCGTCGGTTAATAAGCAGCATTTATTTTCTGTTTTTATACTTTTCAAGGCAACTTTCTGCGCTCCACGCCGACAGTCGGGAGGATAATATGAGACGGACGCTCTCTTACGTTAAACTGACGTCTTTGACGTAAAGCCTGAACCGGAAACAGGTGAATTGGTGTACAAAATAAAATAACTAACAGAAGTATGTGCTGTATGGACGCAGTTTATGAAGCTACGCAGGAAATTATTAGTAAATTATAATTTGGGTTGTTTCATGCAAATAAAAAAGGAACAAAATTAAAGTGTTTATTTGAATTTCTGCTGATTTATAAGCCATTAAAGCTGTAACACATTCAGAGTTGTTAAATCTCTTTGTGCAGCAGTGGCGGAGCCAGGCTTTTTTTCAAGGGGTGGCCAAAGGGTGAGCAAGGCTTTATCAGAGGGTCCATACAAATGATGAACGAAAGGGAAAAAAAATATTTGTTTCCTTTCATTCAAAATTAATTAGTTAGGTTATAATTCAAAGCTTTAATATGACATAGCCTACTTACATTTCAGTCATTATAAAACTTAATGGTTTTTCACATATTCTTACCACACATTTCAAGCAAGAGCTGGGAGATATAAAACATTAGAGGGCAGCATGTCACTAAAACATGTTAAAATAATCTGTCTAAAACACGATCTATTAGCACTAGCATTGCTAATATAATAAACGAGGCACTATGCAGCGGTACACAACCATTTGTTTTCTTTTTAGAAATGTATGGCAAGTGCCGCCTCTCATTAGGAAGGTAACAGCGGTTACTGCTGAGCGGTAAAATGTTGTAAATACCTGCAAAACTCCTGACGGTGTAACTCTAAAGCCGTTGATGTGTTTTGGATCAAGCAGGAACCACATGTCAGTTTAACCAATGAACAGCGTCGGGCATCGGGCTGCCTTCAGGGACAGTCGGAAATTACAGTTTTCCTGGCAAATCTTTGCCGATCTCATAAGTATTATATTTTAAAATTACCATTTCCAGTGGGGTGGCACTAGGGGGGGCCAGGGGCCTTTTGGGGGCGGCAAGTGCCACCCCGGCCCCCCCTCTGGCTCCGCCACTGTTGTGCAGACTATTACTAAAGTCGAGAAACACAATTGTTTTGTTTTTTTAAACCAACTTTTTTAAGTGGTTCTCGGATTCAAGTTCCGAAATCGAATCTAGGTGTGTTATAAATTAAGTTTAAAATTGATCACATTATTGGGTTTTATTTTGAAATTCCAAGCCGGATGTTTTGCCTTGGCTTGGTTAGCGTAGCTCTGAAGTTTTAGCATGCAGACTCCGAGCTGCAGTCCGGCTAACTGTGTGAATAGGAGCAGAGGCTGAAACCCCGGAGAAGTTTTAGTTTATGAACTTTTAGCTGTTCGAAGATGTTTTCATCTGTCTGGGATTTTATCAAACGACACAAGAAGAAATTTATTTTCACCGGAGCTGTGGTCGGAGGTGGGTGCTGACTGATCCAGCCGAGCAGCAGCTACAAACCAGACTCCGTTCATTTAACCTTTGAAAAATATTTAATTTGATAGTATAGGAGTCTAAAGGCACGGACCGATATGTTTTTATTAATAATCTAACTGTATGTTGAATTCGGCTTAGGAAGTTCTTACATATGTCATTGTTCCTGGCATTTTTACTGAAAATATAGTAGCACTTCATTTAATTTAGTTTAATAACACATTATCTCTGAAGAAACTAAATTTAAACCAGATAAAAATAGAACAAGTCGTTGTGGATACTGATGCTGTTGGTAGAAAGAATCTCCTGTTGCAGTCAGTGTTGCAACAAATCTAAAGATGCTTCTGATCGTTTCTGTATGGCTGTTATTAGAGATGATATTTCACAGTTACATCTCCTGGATGACACATCAGCTCTGCTAAGCCTGCTTGCCCTAACCCTTTGCTTTTGCTACTCCTATTAATATCTCTGTCTGATCGAATGGTTGCTGCTCAGAATATAGAATACTACAACTTTATCATTCTGTCTCACAAAACAAAACCACTTCAATCAATCCAGAATATCACCCAGTGGATGGGTCATAGTTTTGTTTTGTTCATGTTCTGTTTTCTGGTTGCCTACCAGGAGTTTACCTGCTCAGTAAATATGCCCAGAAGAAGATCAAGGAGGTCCAGGAGAAGGAAGCGAGCGAGTACATAGCCCAGGCCAGAAGGCAGTTCCACTTTGAGAGCAACCAGAGAACCTGCAACATGACGGGTCAGAACTCCAGATTATTTTCAACGAGGAAATGTTTCAGGAAGGTGCAGAAGAATTTACAGTTTTTGTTTTCCAGTTCTGTCGATGCTTCCTCCGCTCAGAGAGGCCATCGTCGTTCAGCTCAACTCTGAGAGTCTGACAGCAATGCTGAAAACAAAGTGAGTCACAGCAGATCACCAGTGACTAACACTGCTAACTAGACAGCTAGCTGCACTAATGCTGCAGTGCTAATCCTAAACATTAGTTCTGCTAATGCTTTTTATGTTTATAGCTTGCCTTTGTGTTTCTTGTTTGGAATAAAGTTATAGGAGGGAAAAGCAAATAAACAGAACTGCAGAATTGCAGACTTCCCCTCCTTCAAAATAAGAGCATGAATATAAAAGTTAGTTGGCAATCAAAACCTTAACAGCAATTTTAAACTGAAAGTTTATTAAACAGCCAAGTAAATTAAGGCTTTTGAAAATATCTAATATTTAAGTATGTTAACACAGCTTCTCCTTTTCAAGCAAAATGTCTATTGTGCTAAGCTAAAAATTAGCTGTTATTAGCGTTCCAGTGGAAGTTTGGCCCCCACTGCTGATTGCTCATCCGCACTTCTGAGTTCACTGCTGAGCACCAGAAATCATTCTTTTCCCTTCTTTCTTTCCTCTGACAGACCGGCCAACAAGCTGGAGATCTGGGAGGATTTAAAGATCATCAGTAAGAGTTTGAAACGTTTCTTCTGGAGTAAAGCCGAGGTGTTTGATCCTGACATGGCGTCTGTTCCTCAGGCTTCACCCGGACCATCGTGGCCGTTTACAGCACCTGCATGTTGGTGGTTCTCCTCAGGGTGCAGCTCAACATCATCGGGGGATACCTGTACCTGGACAACTCTGTGGGGAAGAGCGCAGCGGTGAGGACGGCCTGCTAGCAGCGAGCGCCATTAGCTTAGCAGCGACCACCATTAGCTTAGCAGCGAGCGCCATTAGCTTAGCAGCGACCGCCATTAGCTTAGCAGCAACCACCATTAGCTTAGCAGCGAGTGCCATTAGCTTAGCAGCAACCGCCATTAGTTTAGCAGCAAGCGCCATTAGCTTAGCAACAAGCGCCATTAGCTTAGCAGCGAGCGCCATTAGCTTAGCACTTTGACTTGTCCCACAGGACTTTTTCTCTTCAGGGAGTTTAAAGGACAAACTTCATGTCTGTTGTCCCTCAGAGTCCTCTGACGCCTCCAGACGTCCAGCAGCAGTACCTGTCCAGCATCCAGCATCTCCTAGGAGACGGTAGGGAGTGTCCCCCCAGCCAGTCTCTGTCCTTTGTCTGTCCTCTGACCCATCCACGTGTCTCTCCAGGGCTGACGGAGCTGATCTCCAGGGTGAAGACGGCAGTGCAGAGCTCCCTGGACGGGTAAACGTCTCTGTGTCAGCGTCTCTGAGTCCCCGCCCCTGATGTCCTGCTCTCTGTGTCCAGGGTGTCTCTGAAGCAGAGTCTGTCCCTGATGTCCTGCTCTCTGTGTCCAGGGTGTCTCTGAAGCAGAGTCTGTCCCTGCTGGAGCTGGAGCAGCAGCTGATCTGGATCCGAGCCGAGGTGGACTCTGGACGCCCGCTGTCCTCCTACATGCTGGCGGGCGATGAGGACGTCCTCGCCGACCAGGTGGCCACTTTTATTTTGAGAAAACCACTAGTAACTAATCTAGTGACTTTTTTCAGAGCCTTTCTTTCCTGAGCTTTTACAGATATAAAAAATATGAATGTGAAGAATGAAAGTCGTCGCTGTGCTGAGGACGGCGTCCAATCAGGAGCCTCGTCCTCACTCTCGGGTTTCTGCCCTGCAGGCGTGCGGCTTAACGGAGAACGACCTGGTGACCATCAGACTGCTGAACGAGACAAGAGACATGCTGGACAGGTGGGGGACACCTGCGGCGCTAATGCTAATGCTAACGCTAACCGCCTGCTGCGTTTCTGTCTTCAGTCCAGATCTGAGCAAAGTTCTCAGCGCCTGTCTGAACCGCGGCTTCTCTCGTCTCCTTGACAACCTGGCCGAGTTCTTCCGGCTTCCTGTCAGTGACTCCGGCCCCAACTGCGCCCCCGACAGGTCAGAACCGGACAGCGCGCGGATACCTGGACAATGCCAAAACCACAGCAGCACCTTAGAGAAGCTACTGTTGCTGCCCCTGGAACAGTTATAAATATGGTTTGAGGTCAGATTGTGTGGGAGACCTGATGAGCAGTCAGTATCTTCCAGAGCTCTGAATCAGTTTTTGGCTTCAGGGATTAAAGCTGCAGCTTCTTTCCAGCTGATCTGAAGGGAAACGTTTTGGTTCTCTGGTGTTTTTCTCTGTCCAGCCTGTCTGTGGTCAGCCTGCCGCTGGCCAAGATCATCCCCATCATCAACGGTCAGATCAACTTCGTCTGTAGTGAGACTCCCAGCCACTTTGTTCAGGTAGGTCCGGCGCCGGTGGTTCTGTGGTAACCCAGACCGGTTGTGTTCTGGTAATCGGACGTTTCCTCTGCAGGACCTGCTGCTGAACGACCAGGTGAAGGAGTTTGCCGCCATCGTGTACGAGACGTTCAGCACGCCGCAGGAGCTGCAGAAGTGAGGAAGAGGAGGAAACGAGTCGGTGATGAAGACGCCGGTCCCTCCTCGTCTGACGCCTCTGCAGCGTCCAGCCGGACATTCCTGCCCTCTCTGCTGGAGGACACTGAGGCTGCTGGGAGCAGTGCATCCTGGGAAGTGGAGTCTTTTAGCTGCTGCAGCGTTCACAGCTGATGAATCTCCCACGCCGGACTCTTCTGGGATGATTTTAGGTTGTTTCTGGGTTGTTGTGCGTCTGTTATGGATCCAGATGTTGCTGCTGAAAGTTTTAGACCTTCTGAAGATTAAAACATTTAATAAAACATCTAAATTAAACATGGAAACTACATTCAACTCCTTTTGTTTCTCTTGGATGTATAAATTCTGCAGCCTGCAGTTCACATCCTGGCCAGAAGGGGGCAGTCTACTCCACCCTTAGTGTTGATGAGAAACCTGAGGAAAGCTGTTTTCATTTATTATGAGAAAATGAGTCTATTGTCACTATTTCCATATGCGATTGTCAAAATAATTGATTAATGATCAGAATAATTAAGTTACTAAATAATCCTTAGTTCCAGATCTACATCAAAGTGAACCTTCTGGAGTGGCCTAGTCAAAGTCTGGACTTAAGTCCATGTCAGATGCAGTAGCATGTCGTTAAACAGGCCGTTCCTGATGTGTCTGAATCTAGAAGCAGAAAGGGTCAAAGTTCATCCACATGGGGAAACGAAGCGATCTGAAACAAAAAATCAAAACCAGGCAAAATCTGAGGGGTGTGAATACTTTTCACAGCTCTGGAGATAAACCTGAGCTCTAGTTTCAGTCAGAGTGAGGCGTCATTAAATCTTTGTTTCTCCAGAACAGGGGTGTCAAACCCAAATACCAAGTGGGCCAAAATGTAAAACTTGAACAAAGTCGCGGGCCAGCATTGAACAAATGAACCTTTTAATATAGACCCAAACAAGAATAAACATGGAGCAGTGCATCCTGGGATGCACTGCTCCATGTCCCATAACAAGCAACACTTATTATTATACAATATATATCTTAATAGTCCAGATATGCACAATCAGATTAAAAAAAACCATCAATGACATTCATTTATTAAATAAAATTTAAATAATAATCATTTTAAAAATAAAATAACAATAATAAATCAATCAAGCCCATGTCTTGGAGTAGCAAGAAAAAGTGCATAAAGAAAACGTTAATTATTGTGGTCATAACATTACACACTGATCTAATCTGATGTGCCCAAGCCAGATACCTGGCATCTCTTCTTGGATGCCAGTTCATCAATGTCTGGGCTCTGGCTTTGAGCTGAGGCAATCCTCAGTGTCGAGCGAAGGTGTTCATCAGTCAGACGTCTCCTGTGAGATGTTTTGGTCATCTTCATCAAGGAGAAAAGTTGCTCACATAGATAAGTGCTGCCGAACATGGAGAGCATCTGAGCAGCTTGGTTGCGGAGCTGAGGCATTGTGTCAGGGATGAACTGTGGAAACTGTGCGGCGCCCACAGCATCATACTGTGACTTCAGCGTATCATTACACTGGAGTTCAATTAGCTCCATTTGGAGGTTGGTTGGTGCGTTTTCCACATTAACTGCGAAGGGATTACTGAGTAATTCAAACCTACATTTCTGGACATCAAAGTCGGCAAATCGCCGGCGAAACTCAGCACTAAGTACACTGAGTTTTTCTGCAAACTCTGCGCATGGAAACAAGGTGGTAAAGAGCTGCGTTTTATGGTTTGGCAGCAGGGAAAATGGCCAAGGTTTCCTTGCAGCATCTGATTCTCCCACAGCCACAGTTTAGTTTTAAAAGCCTCACTGCAGCGTACATGTCTGTAATGATGCGCCCCGCCCCTGAAGCTGCAGGTTCAGCGCATCGAGATGGCTCGAGATGTCGCACACAGAAACTTCTTTTTCTGCTGTGTCCTTCCCTTTGCTTTCCAGAAACTGACATATTTCCTCATGCAGCTTGAAACATCTGTTCAGTACTTTTCCTCGGCTTAACCATCTCACCTCTGTGTGATACGAACCACACTCCTCCAGAAAAGACTTAAACTGGCGGTGATTCAGACCTTTGGCTCTTATAAAGTTAACCACTTGAGTTACTGTGGTCATAACATGTTCCATCTTTAGGGCTTTGCCACACAGGGATTCCTGATATATGATGCAGTGATAAACAGTTAGTTCACCTGCACAGTTCTCTTCCTGCATCTTCTCCCGGACCCTGCCCACCAGTCCACTTGTTTCACCGCACATCGCTGGTCCACCATCTGTCGTTAATCCCACGAGTTTATCCCACGGCAGCTTTATTTCAGTTACACATTTGGAAACCTCCTCAAAGATTTTCTTTCCTGTGGTTGTGCCATGCTTTGATTTGAATCCCAATAGCTCCTCCGTAACACACATGTTTGAGTCCACTCCACGGATGAAGACTGACAGCTGAACAGTATCTGATGCGTCGGTGCTCTCATCCACAGCAAGGGAGAATGCAACAAAATCTTTTCTTTTTTCCATAAGCTGGTCATACAGATTGGTGGCAAGATCACATGTGCGATCAGCTACTGTGTTTCTGCTCAGGCTCACGTTTGAAAAGGCTTGCTTTTTCTCTGGGCACACGATGTCACAAACTTTCAACATGCCCTTTTTCACAAACTCTCCCTCATTAAAGGGCTGATTTAGCGATCTCTGCTGCCACAATATAACTGGCCTTTACAGCAGCCTCACTTTGTGATGTGGCTGTTTTGAACATATTCTGTTGTGAAACCAAACTTCTTTTCATCTCCTCTACTTTCTTGCTCCTTTGAGTCATGTCCAGGTCCTTGTATTTGTCATAGTGTTTTGTTCCATAGTGTCGTCGAATGTTGTACTCCTTATTTATAGCCACGTTGAATCCACAGATCAGACAAACAGGTCTGTCTTTTACATATGTAGACAGATATTCTGTCTCCCACCTGTCCAGAAAGCTCCTGTTTTCTGCCTTTCTTTTCGCCATTTTTGGGAAGGGTTTCCACAGTGACAGTTGTAGCTTGAGATCGCTATAACTACTGTCACAGAGGAGAGGGCGATTCTGGGACCCGTCGTGATTGACGCGCCAAAACAACAGCAAGGCATTATGGGATTTGTAGTATTAACGATGAATCATTTGGTATAGCCTCGCGGGCCAAATATAATTACACTGCGGGCCAAATTTGGCCCGCGGGCCAGAGTTTGACACCTATGCTCCAGAATCACACAATAAATCCGTACTGCGTCAGCAGGGGGCGCTGCGCTGCAGCTCCGGACCTGCTGCTGAAGATGAGGAAGAGGAGCTGATGAAGGGCCTGAAGCAAAACAAGCTGGAGGCCTCGTCTGTTTCCAGGATTTTCTGGAGAAACTGGAAGTAAGCTCTCTGCCCTCTCGTTTAGGAAAACTTTATTTTTCCACTGAAGCTGAAATTTTCCCTACAGATTCCTGGAATCCAGATTTTCCTCCTCAGCTGAACTTCCAGCAGCTTTTCTGATGTCGACTCTGCAGATGTTTGGTGGACCAGATTCCACCGAGGAGGCGTTCCTCCAGGTCGTGTTCCTGTTCTCTGATGTTCTGTGGAAGTTATTAGGTTTGGGGCAGAAAAAGGCGCGGCTGGAACCTGCAACCCTCCGCCGGGACGCAACAGAACAAGTTCAACAGGAACTGGAAACAAACAGCCGGGAATTCAAAACACACAAAAACATGTTCAGAGAAACTCCCACATCATTTAATCCAGTTAGAAAAACCCCACAGGAAATGTTTTTCCGGCTTCCTGCTTCATGTTTGCATCGTCACTCAAACCCAAGACTCAAACTTTCTGCCTTTGGTTTCATTTGTAAGCATTGCTGATTATTTTTGCCTCATTTTCTGCACCTCTCCAGGTTTCCTTCGGTCAGTTCTGTCTTCATAAACCTTGGTTGGTCACTGAGGACTGAATAGAAGCATGAAAGTTGAGTGGAAGGAAAAAGTGCACCAGTAATGGCCTTGAGTGAGTCTGAGAATTTAACAAGAAATGCACTGAATGTGGAGCTTGAGCTGGAGCACCTGGATTCTGCTTATGGGATTTAGCAGTCTGACCTGGACTGAATCAGAACCAGAACCAGAACTGGACTGTTGCTCAGTGGCCTGAAGTTGAAAGTAAGTAAGCTGGTGAAAAGCTGGAAGTAGAGCATTGGATCCAGTCTGATGATCTGGGCCGCCATGTCGTCCTCTGGTTCTGGTCCGATGGGTTCTGAAGTCCATCAGAACATTTTCACTGGCTTCCTTCTGCTGACATTTCCAGTGGACATTTCCAGGAAGTTAAGCAGGCTAACCCTGAAGTGCTAATCAAAAACAGTATAAAGAGCTATAACAGTATTTAGTGGGAGCTAATGCTAAGATGCTGTACAAACATGATATCTAGCATAAATTAATGCTAAACTGTATTTCCACATCATATTTACCCAAAGCTAATGCTTCTCTCAACACTCTGAAGCTCTTCAGCTTGACGGCAGATTTACGTCCGAGTGGAGCATCCCCAGTTGGTTGAACCAGACCAGAGTCACTATTTGTCCTTCTTTGAGGGGAACACGTCAGAGCCCTGAAGCAGAACCCTGTGGGACTCCGTTACTGATCCTCTGGGTTTCCATTATTAGCGGCTTCCTCATCCCGCTGCAAACCAGAAGTGAGGATGAGGAGCAGAGGCAGCGTGATGAAGGAGCAGCTCTGTCATCACTTTCATTCTGACTGAAAGTGATGACACTTTCAGCTGCAGGTACAGATGCTTCTGCAAACTGAGCCGTCGCTTTCTCCCTGGCTGACGATGACTCAGCATGACCTCATGTTTTCAACCAGCTGGTCGCCTTCTAACAACTCGCAGGACTTTCTCCTTTAAAAGAAAGCTGGCAGTGACTCAGAGCAATGATTTAATAAATGGTGTTGAACATTTTGGGATGTTTTTGTTATTTAATCCTGGAGCTGAATCAGAATCTCCACCATAACACAATAGTTTCTGTCTGCAGGGTCTGAATGACCCGGAGTCTCGCTCACGCTGCTGACCACATGAGAAATGAGAGCAAAGAGCCGATGACACAACGGATTATCCACACATTACATACAGAAACCGAAAAAAAGCTTCAGGACCGTTTTTCTGTTTCTGTGTGACAGGAAATCAGACAAAACTTCTCCTGCTTCTGCTCACTTAACTTTCAGGGAAGTTATTGCTTCACATTCCTCCAGGTTTACGTTCGCTGACTCAGCTGGAACGCTTTACGGCGACGCCACCAAAAAATCAAAGAATGAAAGTAATAAAGAATGAATGAATATTCAGCTGGCAAACTTGAAGAAGCT